AGCCGAGGCCGCCTGCCTCGGGCTCCCTCCCCCGGCGCTGGCCGACCCCAACGTGACCGACGTCGGGATATGGAGGGGAGACGTCAAGGCCTCCTGCCCCGAACCCCCTCCCCCCAACACCAGCTCACAAGCAGCAATCTGCACCGGAGCCTCGACCACAAGAGGAGGAAGGGAAAGAGAAGCAACCTTCGGCTCCCCCACCCCAACTCCATCCAGAGTCCTCGCCGATGAGGCCCTGACCAAGCGTCCAGGCACAGAACCGCCAGCCCCCTCAAACTCCAACAGAGGAAGCGTGCGCTCAAACATATCATCAGAGTCTACCCGGTCACTCCAAAGTCTGGGAGGCGCTGATGCTGGCTCAAAGGACCCGAACCGCAACGAAGTCATAGGCACCGATGGCGATGCTGCCGGCTCAACCCCGGTCCCATCCCCGGGCAACTGAGCATTTGGGCGAGAGCCGTTAGACCCCTCTCGTGTGGACTCATCAGTTTGTGCCCCATTGGCTCCCGCACCGCCGTCACCCTCGTGCATATCAACATCATTCCCATTAACCGCATCAGCAAACAGCTCAGTGTCCTCAAACTCAATCTCGAGCGGGAACACCTCTCCCCTATAAGTCCAGTTGACCACATCAGGCACGAACTCAATATCCAGAATACTGACTAAAAGCCGGGCCACCCCATGAGCCCGGGTAAAAGCCATATCAACTCTCTCCGTCTTCCCAACCATCATACCCAAACTGGCCACAACTCGAACATCCTGCAAAGGCTTAGACGGGGCCCCTACAAACCGCAACCAGACCTGCGTAAGCGGCTCCACTAGATTTTGTTATTCCAGCTATGGTGACGGGTGTATAACCATTCTTTCTACAAAGTCCACATTTAAGTTTAAAAAAAGTTAATAAATAGAGGAAGACACCAACGTAAAGTGACATGTTCGCATATTTACTAGACAATAGTAAAATTTGGTCTCATGCATCATTTACCCAAAAAGGGTTTCCCCTCGCTTTGTATACAAAGCAACCAACCGAGACAACCAACGATAGGTGCTGGGGTGGAAGCAGCACAGTCATGCCCAAAAGAAATGAAAGAGAAAATACAAGAGGAACAAATGCCGACAATGGCGGATCGACAAAAAACGAAGAAGCCTCGTGGCACAGTCATGCATCATTTGTGTTAACGTTACCACTTACCATGACTTTGGACAGTAAGGTTGTTGGTCTCACTGAGATCCTGCTAGCTTAACAGATTCACTAAATTAGCATGTGTCTACTTTATGCCCTAATACCGGCGATATGCCAATATTCCCTTTATAGGTGCTCATATGAATATGAAATTAATTATATTGCAGTGAAGATGAAAAATGTGCTAAATTCAGGTTTATGTATCTCACTTTTTAGTGCATGTGCACTACTGATGATTTCTATTTGTAACTTCTTTGACATTTTATGCAGTTTTTCATGTTGTGTGTCATTACAGTAAAGTTAATGAATAACTTTCCTTTCTTTGTTCCAGCAGCTCTCGGCACAAATTTAGACCCTTTGTTTACTGATAGAGGGCACAAATTTAATTGAAAAATCACGAAAACAACTCAGAACCCCTAAAGAGACATTCTTACAGTTGCAACATCCCGATATAATTTCACCCCGTCTCCTTTTGCTTTAGTCCTAAATTCTTAATATGGACATTCTTTCGTTAAAATTGTTTAAGCAGTTGTTGATTCCTTAACTCTGAACTCCTCTATCTGATCATTAACATGCCATCTGATCTCCATTTTTAATGCAGGATGCTTCACTGCAGGGTTCACCAGAATCCCCCAAATCTATTGTACTGGTCACAGGGGAGGGGGAATATAACATGGTATCCTTGCGTAAGACGATCAGAGCGTACCTTTTGGAAATGGGCTCCCCTTTCTTGCCATGTAGAGCTCGAACAGGTCGCTTTGTGGCGAAGTTTTACTCTCTTAAGATGTGGCTGAAAGATTCTCCTTTCTGCATGGATCTTGAGTTGAAAGACGCTCCAGCTCTTCCTAAAATGAACTCAATGAAGCTCACTGAAGGGTACTTCATGAGAGCTGGTCTTGTATCAACATTCAAAGATATACACGAGCAACTTGGGGAAGTACGGCCAAAGAAATTCTCCAGATTAGCTATGTTGTCAGAAGAAAGCAGGGCCAAATTTATTAAAGCTGATATAAAAGGAAGGAAACACAAACTGGAGAGAATGAAAGAAAAGGGGCTTGTCATACCAAGAAAATCTAAAAAAGGACCACGGAGAGCAAAATTTGTTAGAGAACAAAGCACGCAGGAGGTTTTGAAGTAGTGTTTGTTTTGCTTCATCACGACATTTGGACAAACGGCACTGTGGCATTAACATGAATATTCTTAATGGGAGAAGACGAAAAGGGAATGGTGAAAATACTGTGATGCTGATCGGTCAAGGTATGAGTGTGATCGAACAAAAGATGGGATGCATTAGCTTCCAGGTTAATTTGTCACAGCCTATCAAGTTCATACTGGTAAATGGTTTATCATCTCTTCTGTAATATTTGACCTACAAGTTTATGATTTGATACAGTACTTCTCTTTGCAGAGATGAACAAGTGTTGGAGATGGGATGTTTCACTCAGCATGACATCATCATGGGACACTGTAATTCAAAACAATGCCCTTATCCACGCCGTACTTGGAGTAACCTTTACAACTGTTTAAGGTAGTCATACTGAATCCAAACATTGAATTTTGTTTTATGCATTGACCCAGACTGGCAGAAAAGGGCTGCTTTATATGATTCCACTGCTTCATTTGATAGTCATTATGCTTCATTTGATAGTTTGGTGACTGGTGGAATGATTAGTTTCAACCCGACTTCTATAATTCCACTGCTCTGTACTCCCTGCGTTCCAAAATACTTGTCATGGTTTTAGTTCAAATTTTGAAATGTATGAGTAACTTTTAAGATCCTTTCAGAACCTATATGAAAATGCTTCCATCTTAACAATGTTCTGAAACCACCAGGACTTGACGGTACTTACCAAAGCATAACTAAATATTCAATGCGCACACTTGTTCTGAAACTGGAATTCTTTGTACTGTTCGAACATGACTGAACTAATTAGTCTGAAACTCTGAATGCACTTCTGTTTGACACATTTCACCCACTGTAAACTTCCCAATTGCCGCAGGAGAATTTCCCTGAATCGGAGCTCTTAATGTTCCTCTCGATACCAAAGAAGCCGACTCCGAGCGAGGGAAACATACCACACGAGCCAGCCATGGCGCTCTTCCGTCTTCTTGGGTAAGGATGCTCTACCTGTAGTTGAACTGTCTGAGTAAACAAGTCCTTCCGGTTCCGGTTCCAGTTCCAGAAGTTGTATCGCACAATTGAGCACCTGGGACTGGGAAGCAGCGTTGCTAATTGCTATTGACTCGCATTGCCTCTTCCTCCTTCTGCATGTTGCAGATCTAGACATATGCAGAACGTTTTTGGAACGAGGCGCTTCTCTGGTTTGATCTTCGACTCCCCCGACCACATCCAGATTCATGGGCAAGAGATATTCTCTGTGACCCCCACTTTTCGGATGGAGATAGGCCCAAGATTATTACGATCATGTGGTCTATTTGGCACTCTAGGAACAAACTGAAGCATGAGGAGGGAGGATCCGATCCGACTAACTGCATGCGCATGACCAGAGAAGCCCTTGCGCTTCTTGAACTCCCACTATAAAGCAAGCTAAGCCGGCCTAGTTAAAATCAACACAGATGGTGCTATATCATTTGATTCTAATAGAGCCGGTGCAGGTGGAGTGGCTCGATCTAGTGCTGCTCTTATGGGTGCATGGCGCAAACCATATGTGGGTATCAGTGATCCTCTCATCGCTGAAGCAAAGGCGCTGTGTGATGGTGTCATCTTTGCCAAACTTCATGGATACAAAGCATGCGATAATGGAGGTGGACTGCTGGAACACTCGCCACAGTTCTCGAGTCGATTGTGGCTCCTATCTTGTTGAAATTGGAGAGCTAGTTCATGATTTTTCTTTTTTTGTAATCCAGCATGTAAATCGATCAGCTAAGGTACCAGCACATCTTTGAGCCAAGCATGCCTGCACTTTGAACGTGACTGATAGCTAGCTCTAGAACACCCCTAGCTTCCTGCGTCATGAACGTGACTGATAGCTGGCTCTAGAGCCTTGAGCATGCAAAGATGGTGCATTGCCGGGTCATGAACCTGTGTCTACTCGACATGTACTTCAAGTGTGGCAGCTCATCGGATGCCCGGTTTGTGTTTCACACGATGCGGGTGCTCGACGTGGTGTCGTGCACGACCATGATTCTCGGCTTCGGGCGGCATGGCGAGGCCATGTTATGCCCTTCAGAGAAATGATCCATGGTGGATTTAGGCCAGACAGCATCACATTCCTCGCAGCCCTTTCTGCCTGTAGCCAAGGCGGTCTCGTGGACGAAGGGCTTGCGATCTTCCACTCCATGGTCGAGGATCATTGTGTTAAGCCACAGAGGGAGCATTGTGCTTGCATTGTTGATCTGTTAGGACACACCAGCAGATTGGAAGAAGCAGAGGGATTAATCAGAGCCGTGGGGCTGGAAATCGACTCATTGGCATGGGAATCGCTTCTAGGTGCTTGTGCTTTACATGGGGAAGTCGAGCTGGGAAGGTCATGGAACTAGAACCATGGAAGCACGGCCCTTATGTTTTGCTGTCCAATATGTATGCTGAACGATGTCAATGGCGTGAAAAGGAGGTGCTGAGAGAGAGGCTCGACGGCACCAGTGTCAGGAAGGGTGCCGGTCAAAGCTGGTTCAAACTTTGAGAAGCCAGCTGAACGCTGGACCTATCGGTGTTATAGCGTGCTTAGTTAGTGACAGCACACCGGATCCTTGGCGCAATGGTAGCGCGTCTGACTCCAGATCAGAAGGTTGCGTGTTCGATTCACGTCAGGTTCAATACCCCCGAATCTAATCCGGTCTCTTGTTTTCTTTTTGGCTTTTAGCCCACAGTGTCTTGCTTTCGACAACGAACTAATCTTTATTACTCCATTCCAAATTAATTTAAGTTTTAGGATTTTCCTAAGTTTTGTTGACTAACTTAATTAAATTTTGTTTTCTTTGGCAAGTCAATAAATGCTTATCAAATACTCTTTCCGGTTTATAGGGCTTATCTCAAAATTTTAGTTTTTCTATTTTATAAGGCTTAATTTGGTTGTTTCTTATCATAAATTTAGATTTCAAGATGCATTAAATCATTGCATGTAAGTATTAAGAGAAAATTGATCAATGCATGTACTTTATGCATGCATGCATTGCAATTAATGCATTCGTAAACATAATTTTTTAAGAAAAATAAAAGCATTAATTGAATGCTTTTACAGTATTCCACCACTCAACATCTACCTTGGTTGGTGAGATTTTTGAATTGTGCCCTATAAACCGGAAAGAAGAAAATAAGATCATGCACCTAATGTTTTAATTCCACATACACCAAGAACAACTAATTAACTCTAGCCAAACCTTTAACATAAATTTGCATTTATGCCCATACAAAAAGGGACAACAGGTTTTGCCCATTGGTTCAAAGAAGTATGTTAATAACCTTGGAGATGTATTACTCTTCTGAACTTGATCAGTTGGTATTACACTAGAAATGGTCGCGCGCCTTGCCGCGTTGTTTCTCTTATTGGGGATTACGGTGTTTCTCTTACATGGTAGTTACGATACTTAGGTGCATGAACCTCGACCCCAAAAACTGGCACACATCAAGATCACACATCCACGAACAAAAATACAAACTCACCCAGTTAGATAATCAAGGTATGTTTGAAGTGCGCCTCAACAAGCCCTACCAAAACTTAGACCAGAATACTGGGAACCTTTGGTTATTTCTATTGTAGCTTGGTACTTGCAAACATTTTGACAAAATAAGGCTTCCATTTGGTTTGGGGCCAAATTGCTTGTGCGACATTTGACAACAGAGTGGCTAGAGTTTAGTTTGGTTCCAAAATCCGAAGTTTCCGGGAAGAAGCCAATACAACAAACTGTAGACGGCGCCAACAATGATGGATCCCGTGGCGACTGCTTCAATACCCCGAATCTAATCTGGTCTCTTTTTTTCTTTTTGGCTTTTAGCCCACAGTGTCTTGCTTTCGACAACGAACTAATCTTTATTACTCCATTCCAAATTAATTTAAGTTTTAGGATTTTCCTAAGTTTTGTTGACTAACTTAATTAAATTTTGTTTTCTTTGGTAAGCTAATAAATGCTTATCAAATACTCTTTCCGGTTTATAGGGCTTATCTCAAAATTTTAGTTTTTCTATTTTATAAGGCTTAATTTGGTTGTTCCTCATCATAAATTTAGATTTCAAGGTGCATTAAATCATTGCATGCAAGTATAAAAAGAAAATTGACCAATGCATGTACTTTATGCATGCATGCATTGCAATTAATGCATTGGTAAACATAATTTTTTGAGGAAAATAAAAGCATTAATTGGATGCTTTTACAAACTACAAAAAGTATTCCAGCACTCACCATCTACCTTGGTTGGTGAGATTTTTGAATTGTGTCCTATAAACCGGAAAGAAGAAAATAAGATCATGCACCTAATGTTTTAATTCCACATACACCAAGAACAACTAATTAACTCTAGCCAAACCTTTAACATAAATTTGCATTTATGCCCATACAAAAAGGGACAACAGGTTTTGCCCATTGGTGAAGCAAATATGCCCTACAGGCAATAATAATGTTATTATTTTATTTCCTTATATCATGATAAATGTTTATTATTCATGCTAGAATTGTATTATCCAGAAACATAATACTTGTGTGAATACATAGACAAACCAAACGTCACTAGTATGCCTCTACTTGACTAGCTCGTTTACCGAAGATGATTATGTTTCCTAACCATAGACATGTGTTGTCATTTGATTAATGGGATCACATCATTAGGAGAATGATGTGATTGACATGACCCATTCCATTAGCTCAGCACCCGATCGTTTAGTATGTTGCTATTGCTTTCTTCATGACTTATACATGTTCCTATGACTATGAGATTATGCAACTCCCATTTGCTGGAGGAACACTTTGTGTGCTACCAAACGTCACAACGTAACTGGGTGATTATAAAGGAGCTCTACAGGTGTCTCCAAAGGTACATGTTGGGTTGGCGTATTTCGAGATTAGGATTTGCCACTCCGATTGTCGAAGAGGTATCTCTGGGCCCTCTTGGTAATGCACATCACATAAGCCTTGCAAGCATTACAACTAAACGAGTAAAGAGAAAATTGACCAATGCATGTAC